AGAGGCAGCTGATAACGCTGCTGGACTGAGGACAGCAACATGGAGCCAGCAAAACCTCCATGGCCGAGAAGACTGGGACCCCGCCATTCCTGACGGACATGCTGGGAAACAGCCAGCTATTTTCTGACTCATTCGAAGGGGCTGGGCTGTTCTTTGGCTGGTTCAGCTTGTGACAAGATAGCTGAACCTGGCTTGGGAGCCACAGTAGTGCCAGCGTGGTGTCTACAGTCATGAAATGCTTCCGAATTAGAAAGTCGCACAGTTGAGGGCCTCAGGCCACTCTCCTCACCAGTTCTCCACCAGCAGAAGACCGGAGAACCTCTCTGCTCCTTTCTCTCTTCCTTCCTTCCCAAGGGGCAAAAGATTAATGACCCCAAGGTACTATGACTATAAAATGAGTTTTAAGAAATGAAAAAAGGTCAAGTGCTTTAATGGCTCCTATCTACACGGAGGCCTAGGGTGGCGCTGCAGGTTGATGCACTCCACTGAAGTTGGTTTGAACTGTAAGGTCGGTGGTTCAAGCTCACCAGCTGCTCCTTGAAAACCCTATATAGGGTCGCTATGGGTCAGAACCGACTTGATGGCACTTAACAACAACGACATCTACACATATGCATGCACACACGCCCCTGGCTCCCCTTTCATCTACAGCTCAAGATTTCTTTCTCTAAAAAACTTGTTAAGTGATAAGCAATGACTGGAGACTGCGCTCTGAGAAAACAAGTCGCATTTGTTGTCCACCCCCCCCCCCCATCAGCATGGCTATGGATGGATGGGACACGAATGGAAAACAAACAAAGGGAGACCCAGAGAACCAGTCTCTAAGGACCTGAACAACTGTTATATTCAAATGAAGTTCCCCATATTAGATTAAAGATGACCATGAGTAAAACTATGACTCCCCCTGCCCCTACTATAAAACGTTGAAAGAAGTCAGCACTATAAAAGTCTACTCATCACTCTACAGTTGACCCTTGAACAATGTGGGGGTTAGGAACACTGACCTCCTGCACAGTTGAAAACCTGAATGTAATTCACAGCTGACCTGTGAACACACAGGTTCATGCTGCACGGGCTCACTTATACCCAGAATTTGTTTCCCTGTTGCCATTGCAGTGTGCACATGAGTGACGCGCATCCTCTTAGAATGCAGTGAGTAGCTGTAACATAATGGTCCTGCGCAGTGCCGATCCGTTTCGTTCAAGGGCCAACTGTATACAACACATGCACAGCTAGCTGATCTGAAGTTCTGTACTTGAAAAACATGATTTTACAGAAGTTGCTTGAGACTGGCACAGAATGCTTGGTTCACTTCACTCTTCACCTGGGCCTCCAAGAAAAACCACAAGGTCACTAACGACTCGGATGGTTCCCCAATGCTAAGACCATCACACCTCAACCTTAGCTCATCAAAGGGAAACATTCAGAAATGGTGAGGAAAGACATGATGATGCAATTGAAACTTCAGTCTCTCTCTCTTTAATCATCGAATAAGGAGCCCTGGTGGCATCCTGGTTAAGTGTTCAGATGCCAACCAAAAGGTCAGTAGTTCGAACCCACCAGCTGCTCTGTGGGAAAAGATCTGCTTTTGGTGTAAAGTTTTCCGCCTCAGAAACCCTAAAGGCCAGTTCTGTTCTGTCCTGTAGCGTTGCTGTGACTCAGAACCGACTTGACGACAGCGGGCAGGTTTGATCATAGGAATGATCAGCCAAGCTGCCATAAATCATTAGGGGAAATGGAGACACTGAGGAGGACTGGATGGGGAGGAGGAGGCAACCAGGGATTCTGCAGCGAGGAAAAGAGATTCCTGTGTCAGCAGTTTGCTGGTTGGATGAGTGAAGAGGCCACCCTACTTACGTGGCATCTTTATCACTATGGTAACCAAGCCCAGTTCCATCTCATTAGGCCAGCACCATTCTGGCTCTGAGACTGTACCTCTGGCTGAAGGGCTAAGACTGGCTGGCTGGGTGGCAAGTCTTCCAAAGTACCTCCATATCTGAGAGGTAATACCACCTGTCAGGCCAGCTTAGGAGCCTGGGTTCTGGGCTTCGAGAGCCCCTCATTAGTGTTCAAGAGGAGGGGCTCCCTCCCTTTGCCTGCCACGAGCAAACTCCCACAGATTAGCCATCTGGACTTACCACTGCCAACAGACAGCACATCTCTCTGGGTCTGGGGTCTTTGTGGATGGATTCCACTGTAGCCATGGCAAAAGCAGGGTCACAGAATCCTGAGGAAATCTTAGGGCTCTGCCTGCAGGGGGAGCCAGACGGAATGCTTCTCATGGAAGAGATGCTGGCGCCTCTATAGACTCACCAACACTGACCACTACAGTATAATTCTAGCTTTCTGCCTTCTATATACTGAGAACAAAGCCACCTTCAGTTTTAGAAACACTCTTGAAAGGGTAACAGTGGTAGTAAAGAAATCTCACAGGAGGGAAACTCCCACCACAATCTCACCACAACATGACAAACTCTCTTCATTTTGACAAGTACCTCTAGTTTTCCTGAGCCTCAGACACATTTTTGCTTAGCTACTGTCATGATATACATATTTAAAAAATTTTCCTACAATATAAAAAATATTTTTCTTGACAGTCATTGTAATTATTGTTTCTCTGGTGGCTTCCTTATCGTTGACTATTACCGGGGATGCTGGGTAGGCAATCTCCTTTCAATCTCCCTCTTGCCAGGGTGACAACGGGAGAGCCTGCCTGCCACCTTGTCACAAAACCACTAGTAAGTTCCACTGTGCTCCCCCTTTTATCCAGAGGCTCGGGGCTGTCTCCTTTCTCCTGCCTCCAATCTGCAGACTCCTCAAGAGTTTCAAGTTACTTTTATTTTAATATACATTATTTACAGCTCTCTTAGGAGTTGCCATGAGTCAGAATTGAGTCCAAGGTAACTGGTTTTGAGTTTTCGTTTTAGGAGCCCGCAGTGTTTTGCCCAGGTTGTAAATGGGCCCCTTGTATGAATGTCCCAGCATGGTGGCAATTACCTGCTCTAATAAAATGTCAGAAATCATTCTTCAGGGACTTACTTGTTTGGACATGGAGAAGGTTCTGGCATCAGTCCTAACAGACTTGGGATTTTGAGAGACTTCCTGTTTTATTCAGGAACAAGGGGTTTTGATCGAAAAAATTTTAGTCACAGTTGGCCAAGTTCAGCCCTGCCTTGAATGGGCAGCAAATACTCCCAGAGAGTTTAAGGGAAGAGCAGCTTTCCATGAGAGCAGGGTGAGCCAGTCTAATTTTTCATGCACACATCTGCAAAAATTCCACCACAAACAACTACATTCATATTTTCCCATTCATATGTGCTTTGAATATGAGTCAGAACTGCGTAAGGTCTCCGATGCAAGCAGCCCCTGGGTTGCAAACAAGGTCTGTTCCTAATTGTGCAGGTCAGTCAGAAAAGGTGCGCATCATGATTGTGACTTCTTTAGCCTTACTTTGGTGTAAGAAAACGCTCAGAGCCTTTTCAATGGCCTCACAGCTGCATATGCAGCAAGTGAAGGCGACTGTGATGAAGAATTTGGCTCGATTATTCTCATGAGGGCAAATGTACCATAACCATAAAACGGATCTTGAGCTAAAGTTGTGCTGCCCAACTCAAAGATGGCAACGCCCCACTCAAAGATGGCGTCAGATCACAATGCATTGAATGTGCGGCCCTCCCTAGTTCCCCCAATGGTCCAGTCTCACTCCTCAGAGGCCTGACAAGGCTCATTATGTCTTTTCTGAGTCTTCCGGTTTCCAAAAAGTTGACCTGTAATTTTACCATTTCGGTGCACATGACGAATCGCCCAAACTGTACAAATTCAGGTCTCATCCTGTTTTGCTTTGTCCACCACGACAGAACCTGTTCACACTGAGTAGGTCGAGTAGGAGCTGCCCATAAGTTGCATGTTTGTAATCAAGGCCCTGCCTGTACTTGCTCAGTTCAATTGGCCACACGGTATCAGGACAATGACTCCATTTAGATTTCCAGTCAAGGAACCCAAAGATTCGAGTCCAATACAGAATTCCGCCTCCCACTTGGTCAAAATCAGCGGGACACCTCCAGCACAGATCCCCTCTAGTGGACTCTGATGGAAGATGCTGCGCGTGGGCTTGGGGTCCTGTCGCCATAGAGCCGCAGCCGCCCAGCTGTCCCAGCACTACACACATCCCCATCATAAAACCTCCAGCAAGCTGGCAGCCTTCACGCGCCTCACTTAGCTTTGTTTGTGTTTTCAGTACATGTACGGGATATGGAGACTAATCAATGTGTTTAGAACAATAAAGGAATAAAAAGAAACAGTTCACGATGCCAGCTATTTACAAGTTGGGCTGCTAGCCTCAAGGTCAGCAGCTTGAAACCACCAACTGTTCACGGGAGAAAGATGAGGCTTTCTGCTCCCATAAAGATTTACAGCCTCGGAAACCCTGTACAAGGTCACTATGAGTCGGAACCGACTCCACGGCACACAATGACTACGAGCAGGAAGGAGGAGATGGGAGGGAGTTGCAGAGTAAAGGGGCCGGGGGCAGACTATTTGGGTGCCCAGTGAGGAGTCCTCAGACAGGGCTCTTGATGGTGGATGTACCTGCCCAGCTGGGGGTCCTCCCAGGAAGTCCTCTGTCATTTCCTACCAGCCCCTCCTCTTGCCCATCTTCTCAGGCTAAACCTTTCTTGACAAAGGCTTCCAGATGGATACCACTCCCCCAGTGACCCAGTTTGAGAACCATGCATGAGCATACCTGGTCTTTGCCCGTCCCCCCTTCCCCCCATTAGAACAGAAGTCCCCAGAGTACAGATGGTCAATGAAAGACCCCAGCCTCAGGCAGGCAGCGGTGAGTCTCCACTAAAAATCAGATCAGCAGGAGTCCAGCGGTCAGTAGGATCGTGCTGACCTTCCCGCTTACTGAGTTCAGAGCAAGGCACACCTTGAACACCTGAGGGAGAAGGACAGGAAAGGCCACGGATCGCCCCAGCAAGCAGCCCGGAAGAGCGAGTTACCTGAGCTCACACTGCCCTGCAGCAGGGGGTCCTGCAGTGACATCACAGACTGGATGACTGAACAAGAAAAAGACCACAATTAATGAGGAAACAGCCCAAGGGTTTCCAGACCCCTAACGCGTGGCCCAAGGGGAGTGTCCCACTCCTGACTGCGGCTGGGATGGGCTGCACGCAGGGAAAGATGCTGCTCACAGGTTTGTGAGCAGTGGAGGCATCTCTTGCCCACCCTTCACCTCTGACTGGTTTACCTTTCCCTGCTCTTTGCCTTAGCTACTTGACTTTTCCCCATATTTATGTATAAACAGCATTTTCTTAATTGGTAACTCATTTTCTGCTGCTTATAAAAATTAGCTAGGCCCATCTTCTCTCTCCTAAAAACTAAAGGTAGTCCTATGGCAATGGGCAGGGAAGAAGGGAGGAGCTCTCTGTCTCTGAAGATCAGTCAGCCGCTGAGAACGTGGCTGGCTGCTTCCTGAGTGCCTCCCTGGCTCTTGCTAAGACTGGGGTGGGCCATCTTCCCCACAGAGCCTCTGCTCCAGTCCAGCCCAGGGCAGGGTTGCAGTTACCTGGCCCTTGCTGCTGCCCTTGGACGGGCAGGACGCCTTGACCCAGCTCGCCATTCAGCCAGAGCTGCATCCGGATGAAGGGTTCGCGGCCTTTCTGAGTCAGTTTGCTCCACGGCTTCGGCCGGGACAGCATGTCGCTGACACTGCCCTGGGACAGGCCCAGCACCTTGAGTGGTAACCAAAGACACAGAGCTGTCAGTATGAGGTTTTCAGTGAGATGCTGCAAAATGACTGAGTCATACCAAGCCCCATGCTGGGGCTGGGCAGAGGTGGAGCTGACTTCCAGGGCTGACTCTGAGAACAGGCCACATCTGAAGGAGGGCCCCAGGTGGCATGGGGCAGACACTTCTGGAGACCCCCTTACCGCCAAGGGCAAGTCTGTTCACACCCTGGCCACAGGTTGATCATAGCTTTCAGCTCACAGCAAGAGGGGGAACCTGGGAGAGGCAGCAGGGCTGGGGGTCCCGATGCCCTGAGGAAGAAGCGTTTAGAATCACCTTGATCTTAGCCTGGGGGGTGCCAGGAAAGGCTGTGGGGCAGGGCTGAGGGTCCCTTTGGACAGGAACAGGGACTGCGGTGATACCTGGTCCCTCTGCTGAGCTGGGGCAAGCTGGCATTCAATAGGAGGCTCATCTCTGACCCTACTCTGCTCAGTGCAGGGAGGCTGCCTGAAGAGGTGGCTGCAGACCCCAGACAGGCTGCATGTGTGTGCAAGGCTCCTTGTTGTCTCTCACGTGTGGCCATCCACGTGCATAGCACAGGTCTCCCCACCCCCAGGAGGACACAGGCGCAGCCTCCCTCACACCCTGGAGAGTTCTCAGGTTCCAGAGCAGGCGGCACTCATGGCCCACAGCAGCTCAGCATTGCTAAGTCTGCTAAATTTAAGGCATGAGCACACATGTCTATTTAAATGTTCTCCAACGATATTTTTACAACACTAAATTCGACATTCCAAGGGGCCTTCAATTCTCAGCCTTGTTTCTAGTCACCCTTTTGCAAAAACCAGGACAAAGAGTTCACAATTGGATATGGCAGGGGCTTGTGGCACCCAAAACAAAAGGTGGGACAAGGCCACTGGTACCACGGGCGTCTCAGGAAGGTGGCTGTACCTTCCTGAGGGGAGCGGGGCCTTCTGCTGAGCAGTTCACTATGCATCCCAAACCAAAACTGCTACAGAGAGACCTCTGCAATACAGTGAGGATCATGAGAAAGTCAGTCGCACTAATTGTTTGGCTCCCCAGTGCCTATAAAAGTTACTTGTACACTATACTATAGTCTGTGACGGAGTCCTGGCGTGGTGCTGCGGGTTAGTGCGCTGGACTGCAAAGTCAGTTTGAACCGCAAGGCTGGTGGTTCAAGCTCACCAGCTAGCTGCTCCTAGGAAACGCTATATAGGGTCGCTGTGGGTCGGAACCGAGCTGACGGCACTTAACAACAACTACAACAGCATAGCCAATTAGGTGTGATGTGGCATTCTGGGAAAGAGCTGGCAGTATTGTGAGAATGACCATGGGCACGGAGACATGAAGGAAACATGTTACTGATTTGCTCGATGTTGGGCCACCGCAACCCTTCACAAGACACAGTGTCTGGGGAGCACAAGGAGACAGGTGTGCAAGGCACAAGGCCTGCCTGCACATGGCCCATGTTTTGTATCTTACAGGCATGGCAGACCCCCATTATCCAAGTGCCAAGAACAGAAAGGATCTGGAAGCTCACCCCCAAATCATGAGCTAAGGAAATGGGGGAACACTCTTTCCAGGTAAGTTCTGGGCCCAGCCTGGCCCACTCTGCACAGCTGCACCTGGGCTGCCATTGCTTGTGCCTTCCTGAGCAAATTGTTTCACCCCTCCAGGCGCCTTCAGGACGACACCAGAAAGGTACCCGTCAGCTTTTCATAGCCTGTCAGTGCCCTGATCACCTGGCACACCGGCCACCTCTCTGTGGTCACCCAGTCTGCACGTGTGACTGACGTTGAGCTGTGGCAGTAGAGGCTGGCTTGAACTCAGTCACCAACAGCTGGGCCAAGGATTTAACTTCCCCGAGCCTCAGTTTTCTCATCTGCGCCCCCTCACCCTCCGCAGAGTATGACAGGGTTTCCAGGCGAGGACGGGCAGGCGGGGGGGCTGGGTCCAGAGTCTGGCTTGCCATGAGTTCTGTGGACGTCACCAGTGAGCTGGGACATCTCCCTATCAGCCCTTCGGTCACCTGTGGGAGCAGAGGCTTCCCGAGGCTCCTGGGTTCATTCCAGAGTGATGGCCACAGCCCCCAGGTAGATACTTGGTTTTAAGCAGTAAAAAGACATGGGAAAACGCAAGCCCCACATAGACCCCCTTACCTTCTCCCCGAAGATTCTCTGACAAATGCCGTTCTTGGCCAGCTTTTCCTTCACCTGGCGCGTCAGCTCTATGGTGTCCACCTCCTGGTACATGTAAATCTCATACTGCTCAGGGGTCAGCGGGGGGACCGAGGGTTTGGATGGCTTCGACATGGGCACGACTGGGGAGGAAGGCAGAGGGCTGTTCTGAGGGGTCTCGCTGCGGCTGGCTCCAGTCAGGCTCAGCTCCGAGCTCTGGGAGTATGGTGACTCAGCACTGGGCCATTCCTTCCAGTACTCAGACGACGATGAGGGGCCCTGGAGCTGAGTGCGCTCGGCCCGCGCCTGGCTGCTGCTGGCCTTTTCTTTCCCACCGCTGGGGTCTTCAACCTTGACTTCCTCAGAGGAAACCGTGTTCCTCCTGTCGGGCTGGATCGTGCTCCACCAGTGGTCTTTCCAGACACCGCTGCGACCTAACTCGCTTTTCACGTGTCTCAGAACCCCCTGGGCATCGGCAGCTCCCGGAAGTTCAGGCCCGGGGCCGTCTTGGGGCTCCTTTTTGATGCCTGAGGGGTTTGGTAGGGCAGAGCCACTGGGCTCAGGCGCCGAGGAGGATTTCTTCAGGGAGATGGCTATGGGGGCGTAGCTGGACACAGAGGGCATGGGTGAAGCGGACAGGAGCTTGGGGGTCAGGATGGCGATGTCTGTCTGGGAGAGTGGTTCTGGTTTTAAGGCAGGGTTGAGGGTGGCCTGCTGGGCCTCCATTTCTCGGCGGGCTTGCTGCAGGATGGAGCGGATGGCGTCATCGGAGCTCCCGCTGCTGGATGTGGAAGAAGGCTGGGCCGGCTCAGCTGCGGGGAGCAGACACCGTGATGAGTGGTGGCGGCCAGCCTTCGGCTGAGCACAGGCTTCCTCCCGCCAACTTCCATCTAACCCGCCTACCACACAAGGGGGTTGTCTGGGAGCACCTACAGCCTTTCATGTTTCCGACACATCTCTCCCATCGAGGAAGCAGCCCAGGATTGTGTCTGAGCAGTGTTAACAGAGAAGGGACCCTCCTGCCCTGTGATCTGTCCCCATTACAGTCAGGCAGAAGGCGACACCATTGCAGAGTGGGGTAAAGTGGGGAGTGTGGATATGCTTTCGTGACATGCCATCTGAACTTGTTTTCCCTGATAATTTTAAACTTCATATTCTCACATGTTGTTGCTCAGTGCTGTTGAGTCGGTTCTGACTCATAGCGACTCCCGTATAGGGTTTCCAAGGAGCAGCTGGTGGATTCTAACTGCTGACCTTGTGGTTAGCAGTCCAGTGCTTATCCTACAGCACCACAACAGGACTCCACATTCTTGTGTACTGGACTCCAAAATTCTAGTGTTTCCTGTCAAAGTTTGGGGAAAGAACTTTCCTTGGCAACTGTACTGAGCGATGAGTCTCCCAGTGACAAACAAGTGTATCTGGGTGAGACTGAGTGGGTCATAGAGGTTGGCCGGCAATGGGGGCCCTCTCCCAGGGCAGGGGAGAAGACAGTGGGAGGTCCCTGGCCTTTGCCACGTTGGGGCAGTTACCAACACAGCTGGGCCTCAGCATTTCCACCTGTAAACTGGGATGCCAACCCACTACTAGCTCAATGACTCTTGACTCAAGCTGACCCCCTGGGCTTGCTGACATGCACACGGCCATGTTCAGCCCTGGCCTAGCATCTGTGTTTTGAGCCTGCTCCTGGGCGCCGGTGATGTGAGGCTCTAGTTACAGCCACTAGCAGGATGGTCCTGGAGGTGCTCCAGCTTTGATGCTTTCGGAGCCCATGACCCTGTGACCTTCTCCCCTCTGTGTCACACTCCCACATAATGTGCCTTCCTGTCTGGGGATACTGTGGCGTAAGCACTGGACGGCTAACTGCAAGGTCGGTGGTTCAAGCCTACCAGTCGCTCCTCGGGAGTAAGATGGGACAGTCTGCTCTTGTAACAATTTACAATCGTGGGAACCCTCCAGTTGGAATCGACTCCCTAGCAGTACTTGGTGAGGAAACCATGCACGCTGCCTCTTCATCTGGTTTAAACGTGCCTGAGGGAACCTCTTCCGGTACTTGCTTTACGGGGGGGACTTCCCTCCTCCCATTCCAATGACCCCATAGCACCCCTGCAATGCACCAGTTTGCAGATGAAAAAACTGAGGCTCAAGGAGGAAATAGGCAATCAAGGGAGCCAGATTCTGGACCCAGTCTTCGGCCTCATCTAGCTGTGTTTTCCACGTGGTCTGCTTGCCTTGTCAATAGCCCCCCCCAGGAGGCAGGTGGGCATAACCCGTAACCCTTCCCTATTTGAGCAAGCTCCGTCCACTGTCAGGCCTCAGATCCCACCCAGGAGCTCCCTGTGGGTCTGGGATCATTGGAAGGAGGCAGGCAGCAATAAGGGGCTCCCCTCTACTGGGGCAAGGGCTGGTGGAGTTGGGCTTCTCTCCATGTAATGAGTTTGGCTTAATTATTTGAACTCTGAGCCTGACTTTCAGAATTCAGAATACCAGGACTGCAAAACCTATCTCCCCAGGTTGTTGCAAGGACAGTCTGAGCAGGAAAGTGTCGGTGGAAATGGCCAGCCCAGCCTGGTTCTCAGACGGCAGTCCCGAACTCAGGTGCTGAACGATCTTGGGCAGGTGGGAGCCCTAGAGGAAGCTGGGCCGACAGGTGGTGTGACGTGTGGTGTGAGTGACGAGGTGGTGGTGGCTTGTGCTTGGCTACTGTGGCTGCCAGCCAGGAGGCCAGGTGCACGGTGCAGGGGCCCCGGGCAGGCAGGAGTGTGGAGCCAGGGGATCCCCTAGATGTTGCTTCCTCCCCATCAGAAGCTCTGAGCTGGTTCTGCAGTGCGACACATGTCACCAAAGACCAACGGGGGGAAAGCCGGTAAGGGGGGAGTCCCTGGGAGGTGCAAATGGTTAACGAGGTTAGCAGCCCAGTGCCTAACCCACTGTGCCACCAGGGCTCCTCTGCCCCTGCTGAGCAGTGCTCAGTTCCACCGAGCGGCTTGAGAACTCCCCCTTTCATCCATTCTTGTTTCTGCTGCATGTGGGTCAAGTGGCTACTTTTCATTTCCAGATCTGACACTATCCAAGTAAGTCTGCACTGAGTTTAAGGCAGACACTTGATACCAACCGAATTAGCTAATTTAAGTCTTAAAGTGGTTAAATCAGCTAATTTCAGTGGCTTAAATAAATTTAGCCACTGAAAAGGAGACTCCAGGCTAGGGGAGCATTCCTGAGTCCATGCTAGGGAATGACATTCTAGAAAAAAATGAGTAAGATAGATGTTAAACAGACCTGCTCCACTTTGCAACTGTCAAAGTGCTTAAAAACATATATTCATTGTGTTGTTTTTTTTTTAAAAGTTAATTACTGCTGACCCACAGACCCCTGACAATTCTTTTAATTAGTTTGGAAGCAGGAGAGGGACCGCACCTGATTTCTGTACTTGCAGCTCCCTTTTGGCTTGCTCCAGGATGGACTTGATGGCTTCGTCAGAGCCGGTTTCGGAGGCGCGGATCCGGGTCGTGATGTTACCTGCAGGGAGAAGCCACACCAATGACACCAAAGCCACACCTGGGATAAAACACAGCGCTGCACCAAGACGGTGTTCTGACACAGAGCCCATGGACAGGCTAGGCATGGCAAGGAGGCTGGTGTGGCCTTCTAGGTCCCTGTACCTGCTGTGGACGCAAAGTCATAGCAGGTTTCCTGCTTCATCGACCTCGTAGTACATATTAGTCTACAAGTGATGACCCTGCCCCCATGGGTTAGTATCAGGGAGAACACATCATTTCATCAGTATATAGACACACATAAAAAAAGGAGAAATCTGAAGGGAAGACTTTCTCATAAGTCATTTAAAAACAACAGCAACTCCTTTGACTTGGGACTATACTTAGACTGCACAGTTCTTTGAGGCTGGTATCCCAAACAGGGAGAATGGGAGAGAAAGGAAAAGAGTTGAGGCTGATTATCAACACCTATGATACAGAGGCAGAGACTAACAATTTTCTTATCTATTATCACAGTGTGTTTTTAAAAAATTTGTGAACAAGGAGAGAAGTCTGCAGAAATCCCTCAAGGACTGGAATCCTCCTGTCAGTCACACGGTGATGCTTTGCAGAATAATCATGCACAGACACATTAGAGCCACTGCAGCCCAGGGGCTGGCCCCAGATCCTTCTGGAAGCTGTCCAGGAATTTTAATTTTTCACTATTTACGAAATATGAACTGCCACATGAAAGCATTTCAAAATGAGTATACCACCGGGACTCGGCCCATTACAGACGCAGCTCCAAAGAGCGCAGTGGGGACTGCCTTGCCAAGGTCCGTGGGAAAACAGATGACATTTGGAAGAGGTCCGCTCTGGAGAACCTCTAACATCTTTCAGACGTCAGCACATGAGGAAGCAGCAGTATCTCATTTAACCACGTCCCCTGCTTTTTCTCAGAGCAACCACTGCTATTCTTATGCGTGCTTCAGAGAAAACTGGAGGGTGTGGTTTGAGTCTTCCGGGGCTGGGACTCACTCTCTAGGGGCTATCCCCTTCTCACCTGTACTGCACGCCCGTAAATCTGGGATCGGCAGTGCAGGAGGAAGGGCACGTGAGTACTTGAACCCGTGCTTTGTTTTATACTTACTAGCTGTTTTTTCATCAGGTTCCAGGCCAGAATCACACTGCACAGTTTTAAGCAAAATACACAGCTGAGGACATGCTGCTTCCTAAGTTACCGACTGCAAAGAAAGACACCTGCCTGCAACATACCTTCAGACCCATTTCTTCGTTTCGGTACTTCCTGAAATAGTCTGTTCAGGCTCTGGCCTGGATTCTCTGTTGAAAAACAAGTGTGGTAAGAACAAAACAATCAGGGGAATGGCGGTGTTGACGATATGGGCTGCGTGACATGAAATCTGAGCCACCTGCCACTACCTAAGGGGCTCCAGGGCTTCCTGTGCACCTTGGGAGTTACTAGAAACTTCTGGGAGGCCCTTCCCTCACTGACTGGGCAGCAGAGGCCATGGCTGTCCTGCAAGAGGCGATCAGACCGACCTGAGAAGCGGACAGAGGGAGGGAAAACTGCTTCCGAGCAAATCGCCCACCAGCCCCCAGAATGGAGCCCCACATTAATCATCCGGAGACATTCAATTTCAGTTAACATCACCATAAAAAAAAGCCCCGTGTTCTTTGTGCAAATTGATGCGGCTCCAAAACATCTCCTTTCTCCATCTGTGTGAGGCTCAATTTCAAGTTTCCAATGAGTCGGATACAATTCTCTCCCCAGATCACTGTCATTTACTGGAATGACCCCCCTGTTCCTACGAGGGAAGGGCTTTTGTAGCCTATAGGTGTGGCTGCCTTTAAAAACCTTTTGATGGAGGGCAGGGCAGGAATGGTTTTATAAGCAAACTTTCACGAATTTTTCTCAAGGAGGGCAGAGTTTGTTCCTAACGCTAAACAAATCCTAATGGAACGTAGACATGATTAAGCTGACCACAGAATGTACTGGCCTCTGTGGGGTAAGGGAGAGAAGAGAAGGTGTGGTTGATTATATTCTGCCCCAAAACCAGGTCCTTCTGGGGGATGCATCGGGCTGATGGCACCCGGGGGATCCTCCAGCACCGAGGGCCAGTCTGAGCAGCAGGCCCCAGACATACTGGACACTGTCTGTACTCTCCTTGCCTCTAATGCTCGTGCACTGAGCTTATACATGCTAGTTGCTCAGTACAATGGAAAGGCCCGCTCTCCACAATCTACCAGCTTTACCTCGTGCCCGCTGATAGTTGAGCTCTGAAAGTATGGCAGAATTGAAAAGCATCTCACCTGATGTGATGTACAAATGTTTTAGTGCACACACAGACAGACACACAAGTACACACAGTCAGCTGTGCCACGGGCTTGGCATTGGTGCCAACCCACGAAAGGTTCTCACCTCTTTGTCTGCCCTGGATGCTGCGGAGAGCCAAGATGTTCTGCTCATCGGAGAGGAACTGCTTCATCTTGTGGAAGGGCTCCTTGCCTCGAACAGTCAGTTTATTCCACGGCTTGGGCCGGGCTAGGATCTCGCTCACGGACCCTTGAGACAATCCCAAGACGTAATGTCCAAAAATGCGCTGTCCGATATTGTGCTTGATCAACTGCTCTTTGACCTGCCGGGCAATCTCGGCTGTGTCCATCTCCTCGCCCTCAGAGGTGCTCCCAGCACTTTCGGACTGGCTGGGAGAAGGGGCCATGCCATTGACATCTGGGCTCTGCTGTAATGGACTTGGGGAAGATATGGAGTTTGTGGTGTATGCACCTGTTGGGAAAATCATGCTTGTGCTTCCGGCTTCCTGCACGGCCTTGGAGTAGAAGGATTGCATTAGCTGTCGCTGGAGGAGAGAGTTTAGTGCAAATTTTCCTGTAGAAGCCGGGGGTAGGCTGGGGCTTGCCAGGGATGAGCTGAAAAAGTCTTGACTTAACCCCGCTGGTGAGAACTGGTGTGTACCGTTAGTATTGGAAGCCTGCTCCCCCGGGTTGCGGGGCAACTGAGGAGGAGGGGAGGCCGGCAAGGGTCCAGGACGCCGACTCTCAGGCTGGTCTTTCCCTTTTCTCCTGGCTGACCCTACAAGGAAGGGCAAACATAATGCATTATGGGGGATTCAAAAGGGAAAAAAAACCAAGACCAAAATGCAAAGTGTGCTCCATAAAAGGGAAAAAAAAAGTGCCGATTTTCACAAGGGCCAATGAGGTGTGTTGGTTTGTTTTTCAATTGAATTTTTAAATTAGCCAAACAAGGCCCCCCAAAACAAGCAACATGCATTTCATGTTTGCGCCTTTCTTGTACGTTGCAGCCTGGAGAATCCCCTTGGCATCGATTCAAACTCCTACGCGTGGCAAAAGGAGCCGGTGACACACACGGTACAGGGTACAGAGTTGACAGGTCGCAGGCCTCGGCGGGCCCCTAGCATTGCAGCTATTCCCAGAGGGCCCCACCTGCGGAGCAGCAAACACTGACATTTTAGGACCATGGATTCTCTCACACCACCTGCTCTGCGGCGAACGCACCATCACAAGTCCACTCGATCGAAGGCACGCACATGGTAAGAATGAAATATCGTCACAGCCCCACGACACACCTTTCCACCATTTACCAGCTGTCCAAACCAAAAGCACACCAGTAACACCACCATTGTGGGACGAGCAAAAGGAAGCTAAGGATGGCGGACGCACCCCTCCAGGTCTCTGACAAAGCCTGGGAGGTCCAGAGAGACCACCAAAGCAGCCCCCAAACACCAGGAGAGAGGCAGCGTGTGCCTCAGCTCCCACAGACTCACAGCACAACTACAGAGGGGCCACAGAGCCAACATTCCCGAGTGGCCCTCTCTGGTCTCTGACAACACTTCCTCCGCCTGACCCCTCACAATCTCGGCGTTTTGCCCATCTAAATAGGGCGGAAAGGCGGGCGGAGCAGCAGCGAGGAGAGGGCGCCAGGCAGCAGCCCAGCGCACCGGCCTCGTCCTCGACCCTGCCAAGCACCACACGCGCGCACCAACCTACCGCTCAGGTCGCTGTTGGAGATGCGCAGCGCAGCGTTCTCAGACTGCAGGGAGCGGTTCTTCTCCAGCAGAAGCATCTCCAGGGGCTTGGACGTGTCCTAGACGGGGCAGAGCAGGGCTCACACTGGGCCGGCCACCCCAGGCCCCCCTACCCACTCTCTCTGTCTGGTTCTGGCCCATGTGACAGACAGCTTGTTTCCCCCAAAGATTTTGAATGTACACGTGCAAAAAACTGCAAGTTCCTTTTAAAGGCATTCATTTCACTTAAAATTTGAAAAATGTTCTGGAACCTACACATCTTCTAGACAATTAATTCTCTTCATCTTGTTACCAGACCCAGGCTGTGAATACATCGGCTACCTTCTGGGCATGGGGGACGGGAGCCTCCCACTGTTAGTGGCCAGTACAGGCCCTCACCCCACTGCCCGACGCTGCCCCTCGCCCTGTGAGGCAGCGGATAATTCAAATCTCCAGCCAACGCCTTTCCAGCTCATCCTGACCACAGTCCGAGATGGCTTTTTATTCCCGGTCAGAGTGCCTGCCCACGTTGTAGAAGGCCACAGCTCCACTCGAACTGGGCTACAGTTCAGAAGACAGAAACTATTTCTTGTCTCAGTTTAAGTTGAGACAATTTGCTTTCACCTGGCTCAATGTTTTTGGAGATTGAGTCAGCAGCTGTGTGCCATTCTTCCCCCTCAAAACAGAGTCCTCACAGGGAGACAGAGTAACGTGCTGCCAAAGACCACACAGCCCTGGGGTGCGGGTGCCTGTGATGCTGTGCCCATGAGATGAGTAGGCTCGTGTACCACACAGCCCTGGGGTGGGGGTGCTGTGATGCTGTGCCCATGAGATGAGTAGGATCATGTACCACACAGCCCTGGGGTGAGGGCGCCCGTGATGCTATGCCCATGAGATGAGTAGTATCGTGTACCACACAGCCCTGGGGTGGGGGCGCCCGTGATGCTGTGCCCATGAGATGAGTAGGATCGTGTACCACACAGCCCTGCGGTGTCGTGCCCACGAGATGAGGAGGGCCGTGTACCTGCGTCCCAGCTCCCTCGGAAGGCGCGAACTCCATGGATTTCAGAATACTGTGGAGAGCAAGACAGAACCGTTACTTTCCCCGTACAACCTCCGTCACAAACACGCTAATAAGGTGCTGATGTTACAATTTCTTGCTCTTCAGGAACTGAGGAGCTGACAACGGTAATGACTTTCCTGGCTGTAAAATAGTCGGGTAATGTCTCTAGAATAATTCTTCAACTAGCAGTTGGCTAGCAAAAGCATCTTGCCCAGCTTGTGAATCATTCCATATGGAATGACACCAAGTCTGCTCAAGAGCTTCATTTGATTGTTTGGTAAAAATATAACATTGTCGCAGTTAGAATGTATTTATGAAAACTTGTACCGAGGAAGCAAGAGAGGGAGCTCAGACGTTTCCTTTGGCTTCGGCACCTGGGACCAGAGAGACCTGCCACTTGTAGGTGGTGGTGGCAAGCTCCACTTCTGTGCAGCCGGCTGAGGCAGGAGGGCCAGGCGGACTGGCCTCTTTCCCCAGGCATGCTCGCTTCAGTGTCTTTGAACACTTCTAACAGGCCCAACAGCTGGTCTGTCCAAGTTACTACAACTGGGGTTTGTGGCATGGGACCTCGCTCTCTAGCTGCGGGGCTATCAGGGTGAGAAGGGGATTTGAACCTGCATTGTTCTGGAGACAAGGGCAGGAAGGCATGGCTGCACAGTTGGATGGTGGCCGGCTGCAGGGGACACACCAGGCCCTGAGCACACTGCACTGTCCTGTCCTCTGGTAGCCACGCGTTAGCTCTGCCCCTCTTTCAGCTCAGCAGATCTGTCCTTGAGAGATCAAGGGGTGTAAAACTGGTACCGCAGGCAACTGTGCCCAAAACATGTGCAGTTCCATCCCTGCCCTGGCTGCTCTCCTGTTTAGTTTTGGGATTTGTTCTGAGTTTACTTGTGGCTGTATCTCTGTAGGGACACTCATCATGTAAAGTAACAATAGGAGCTACCACGGGTGAACCCAGATGTGTATCCTACAGGGCACTACTGAAGGCATTCAAGAAGGGCACATCAGGACAGACAGTGAGACAGCCAGGCAGCCTGACAAGTGGCCTTTCTCAGTGGTCTCCACAGGGTTCACGATTATGTCCTTGTCCCTTTCTGTATTTTTTCTGATCCTGTCATAAAACATTAAGTTGATATATTAACTCCAAAATGCAAATTTCTCTTCATTTGTTGTTAGTTCTGTTGAGTTGGTTCCGACCCACAGCAACCCTGTATAGGGTTTTCCAATGAGCCGCTGGTGAGCTTGAACCACCAACCGACCTTGCAGTTCAAATGGCTTTGCATTCTGGTGCAGTTACCCACAGCGCCACCCCAGGGCTCCTCTATTCCTTTAGTCAACCCATATTTACTAGCACCCTCTTAACTGCCTGCAACGTTCATCTCTCACAGATCCAAATAGCATGTGAAAACCCGCTGGGGATTCATCTGGTGGAGATGGGGGTTCAGCTTCATGGGGAATGAAGACTTCGTGATGGGCCTTGGAGGAGCAGGCTGTTTACAGACCACTGTGATGGGTGAGGGGTCCTGGGAGGTCTGGGACAGCTGAAGGAGGCAGACACCATTCCAGAGGTGCATTCGTGTCACTCGGATGTGGGGGCCATAGCATATGATAGCACGTGGGTCACAGGTGTGGCAGGCAGTTCCAGGGGGCAGCAGGATAGGCAGAAGGGAGGGAGGGAGGAAGGCAGCTGACCACTAGGCTTCAAGTGAGTCTGGTCACCCCAGAGTGGCAGGGCAGGGTTGGGTGTGGAGAAGGACTTCAAACTCGGACTTTCTCTGATGCAAAATCAGGAGACGGCACATTTTGTTTTTTGTTTTTTAGAATAAGGGAAAACTAGGGCAGGGGAAACAGGTAAAGATCAACCAGGTAAAAAATGTAAAGACCAGTTGCCAGCATTTTCTCCAGAATGAAGTTCAGAAGGCTGGAAGAGTTAGAAAACATGGGGGAATGGAAATGGGAAACACAGGAGAAAGGATACGTGATGCTCACTGTTAATGGTGTGAAACAAAATGAGTAGGAATTGTTGAATGGAAAACTGATATGCTTTGTAAACGTTCATCCAATTCACAATTATAAGCTGGAAACAAACCAACCCTCAAAGCTCCAGAAGTTGCCACCGAGTCAGTTATGACTCACGGTGACCCAATGTGTGTCCCGGGCTTTTCAGTAGAGGGTTTTTAGGAAGCAGATCACCAGGCTTTTATTCCAAGGTGCCCTGGTTAGCCTTAGAACTCAGTGTGCTAGTTAGCAATTGCATGCCTTAACTGTCCATCTCACAAGCTATCACTCTCACTATGTTGCACATGGCGTGGGGGACAGGTGCTGGCAGAGGCTGCCTGCAGTCCGCACCAAGGAGAGCCACAGGAAGGCAGTGGCGAGGAGGTGTGGAGCCAGGCTCACTAGGGAAATGAGGAAGGTCAAGACTGTGAGACCTACTGGTGTGGGGGTCAAGAGGTCCCAGAGTCTGCCACCAGCAGGGAGGTGTCGGGGGGGGGGCCTGAGTGGGTCTGGGCTTACTTTCATGGGAGACACTGAGATCAGTACGAGAGGCCGTAACTGATGGACTAGGATGAGGGAGCAGGGAGGAAGGGATCCAAGGCCCAGGCTGGTGTTCAGTCTGCAGAGAGAGAAAGTGGAAGCAAAGACAAGAAGGAGATTCGGTTTCTTTCAGAAGCAGAGGTGGAGAGTCAGCTAAGTGGCCAGGAAGACAGCTGGGGGCAGGAGAGAAGGATACGGGATGAGGAACAGGCTCTCGTGGGGAGCACAAACCCAGCATCCTACGGACCCAGTGACGTGAATACAGGGAACTGTGGTCAACACAAGTCACAAAGGGTGGGGATGCTGGCAGGCAAGGTGGATGGTTAGGGAAGAGTGTGGGCATTATGCTAAGGCTGACTGTGGGCTCCAGGCTGGAGAGGATCCGCTGAAGCCCAGAAAATGATGGACTGGTGAGGAAGGCGGGGGCGCCAGGGCAGGCTTGGGAAGGAGTGTGAGTGGCTGGGCTGGAGAATGTGGCATTGTCATGTCAGCTGGGGCCTCGTACATGGGCTGTAAGAGGTTGGGAGAAGAAGGTTCTGGAGTTCAGGAGGCCAAGCAGTGTGAGGCCTCGTGCATTGTGTAAACTGGAAAATGTTTCTCCCTGCAGCTTTGCTTCTGTTTGGAAAAATTACAGCTGAAAACAAGTTCGTATTTTATTCTGTCTTGGTGTGGCACTGTCTGAGAAAGAACTGGACTGCAAGGTCGGTTTGAATTACAAGGTCAGCAGTTCAAAGTCACCAGTAGCTCCTTGGAAACCCTACACAGGGTTGCTATGAGTCAGAGCTGACTGGATGGCATGGCACTTAACGAGAAGAAGAAAGGCAATGTCTCCTTGGATTCTGTGCACACTTGAAATGCACAATTTTATCAAAAGCCCAAGGAATGTGGGTCTTAGTGCAAATACCCAACATCAGGTAGTCCAGGACATTGTTCAGTGGTAGCTCCCAGAGTGAATTCACGTGTATCTCCGAGGCTGATGCCCACTGTCCTGGGACCACCGCTGCCCAGGATTTTGTCGGCACACGTGACTAACAAGACATAACTTATGAAAGGTCAAGCAGGCCCCTCCCACTTACTTTAATTCTTTCTTCACTTCCTCATAGTCGGCCTGCCCTTTGAGCTTTTCTTCCAGTTGCTGAAAGAGAGGGGGATTCTATTAGAGGCAATGCCAGAAAAAGGGGGCGATAACATTCCTCAGCGGCACTCCCTAGAACAAGGTGCAGTCTGCCCCCAGTGGGAGCAGAAACACACACGTGAAAGCTGACCACGGATGGATGGTAGTCTTCTGGTCTGTTGCATGTACACACACATACCACCACCACACACTTATAACATACAATGTCACGAGTTTAGAAGGAAGAAAGTGCCACAAAACAGAACACACGACATGCCCATTTTGTATGAAATCCCAGAGGACACACCCCAGGAGGAAGCATCTGTGGTCGGTCCTGTGCTTCAGATGCTGGGCTTTTAGGAGAGGAGGCTGGTTCATGGGGGTCAGTGGCTTCTCCGAGTCTTAGCAGGGAAGATTCCCCTCCCTGAGGAGATGGTGCCCACCTGCCCCTGGCCTGGAAACCCTGACCAGCAGGATGCAGTAGGTCTCGGCTGACCCCCGGGCCCAGGGCTGACCCCTTCAGCAGGCTCTGGACCCACACCATCATTTAGCATGGTCCAGAGTCCAAAGAGAGACATCCCATTTCCAAAGTATGAGGCCAAAGTCTTGTTAGGGGGCTGCTGTCTGCCCAAAACCACACTGTATCCACTTGTACACTCCTCTGTGTTTGACATCCCAGAAGCCAATTTGAACAAAAATCTCACTAATACTGGGCTCCAGGATTTTCGGGCTAGGCAGTGCCCTCTGGCACAGGGTGGACAATGGAAGGTACGTCCATAAGGACGGTGGTTTTGGACTAGCTTGCTCCTGGGGGGAAATGCGGCAGCTAGACTTACAACAACTTGATGGCTTGGTGGGGAACCCGGGTCCCACCTGCTTCCAAGGTTGGGGTGAGCCACTGATGTCTCAATTGCTAGCCCTTCCCCATTCCCAGCCTTTCCAGTTGTTGTGACAATGGTTGACAGCGGTGGAGCACATTCTAGTGGGCTGTGACGATAGCCCACTAGCCCGTTAGGCCTCTGCAATCATCCGAATCCCAACCTGCCTTCGCTCTTCACGGAATTCAGCCAGCCTGTCTCCTTCTGCTATCTTTGTGACAGCTCTTGTGTATGTAGTTCCCATTGCGTATAATTGTTCTGCCCTAGTTCCTTTTCAAGCCCTCTTGCCAAACGTATGTATTAGAATGGCTTTCTCGGTTCATCATCAAACAGGGGGTAGCATACACTCATTCTCCTGTAAGATTCTCAGAAGGAAGCGATCATGGCCTTCTTTTTGCTGCAGTCAAACAGCAGGATGTGCTAAGGCCAGCCCTCCCAACAAAAGATTACCCAGTGTTGCTGGCATGCATGAGCACTGTGGAAGTCACTCGATGGGATGTGGAGGACAGAAAACTTGGTCACCCTCAGAGATGTGGGAGAGAGACAGGGAAGTGGGTGGTTAACAGGGGCCAAGGCAGACTTCAGACTGAGGAGGAAGATGGTTGGTACCTCAAGTCCGGCTCTGTTACCCACAAGCGGCTCACTGTGGCCATGTTAATCGCTCTCACTGTGGCGTGGGAATAACACTGTGTGTGAAGATAGGCCAGTGAAAGTCTAAGACAGAAGGGCTCTGGGCCCCCATTAGCATCCCCCTGAAGGGTATGGGATGGCTTCCTTTGCAGACCTGCACTCAGCCCCATGAGGGGACTTTAAGACTAGAAGCCAGTGAGGTCAGGTTTTCACTGAGAATGAAGTCAGTCCCACTAAAGCGTCTACCACGGAACTGGGGACAGCTTATTAGGAAATGACCACGAGCTCTGTAAGCCTCCACTGCCATTTCTGTGTCTTTGGGCAGGTAAGAAGGCCTGGTGGCACAGTGGGTCAAGCAGTCGGCTGCTAAACACAAGGTCCTGCTCTGCAGGAGACAAGCGAGGCTGTGTGTTCTGGAAATCTTGGCGATCCCAGGGAGCAGCTGTAGGGAGCAGGTCTACTCGGTCCTACAGAGTTGCTATGTGTTGAATCGACTCGAGGTGGGTTTGGTGTGAGTTTTGGGCAGATGAGTTGAACAGACCGTCCCTTCCTATACCTCTTCTGCCTCTGCGCTCACGGGCAGCTCTCTGTTCGTGTTATCTTGAGGGAATGCAGCATTTCCAAACTCCACTTGCAGTGGGTGGGAGCGGGGAGGAAGAACCACACGAGTGTCCTCAGGTTGTCTCCTGCTGACATAAGACCAACCTGAATCCCATTCCTTGCTCAGAAACTCCTTTCTGGGAACCCAGAAAGTCCTGGAACGTGGGAGGGACAACAAGCACCGTGGCCTGTCATTCTATGAAGACAGACTCTCAGGCCAGGGTGCTAGGTCTTCATCCCAAACACCATTCAGCTGTTGTCCAGTGTCTGTCTGCCTGAAGAAAGGCCCAACCACTGCAGTTCCACAGTGTGGCCCCTTCGGCCTGAGGTGGTCTCAGTCAGGGACAAGTGACAGAGTGGAGGTGAGACCCAGCTGTGCAGAGGTCATACCAGGTGCTGTGAGTCTGGGCCAAGACCTGCCCTGCCATGCATGTGGTATGACCTTGGACAAGACCCATAACTACCTTCAAGCCTCAGTTTCCTCATCTCTACAGGGGGGCAGTGGCACACACCTTAGCATGCTGTTGTGAGGATTCAGTGACGTGTACACACTAAGTGCTTAGAACAGTGCTTGCCACCCGGGAAGCACTCGGTAAATGATGCTACTGCTGTTCTCAGAGTCCTGGCAAGGCGCTGTGCGTTAATGCGCTGGACTGCAAAGTTGGTTTGAACTGCAAGGTCGGTGGTTCAAGTTCATCAGCGGCTCCTCGGAAATGCTATACAGGGTCGCTATGGGTTGGAACCGACTCAACGGCACCTTGTTGTTGTTAAGTGCCATCGAGTCGGGTCCGACCCATAGCGACCCTGTACAGGGTTTCCGAGGGTGTAAATCTTTACAGGAGTAGAAAGCCTCATCTTTCTCCCGCGGAGCGGCTGGTAGTTTCGAACCGCTGACCCTAAGGTTCGCAGCCCGATTCGTAACCACTACGCTACCAGAGCTCCTTAACGGCACCTTAACCCCAACAACCTTAACCCCAACAATTATTTTTATTATAGTTACTGCTGTTACTGTTACCCAGTATCCACTGCCATCGGGTTCATTCCAACTCGTAGCAGCTCTGTACACAGAGTTGAACTGATCTTTAGGAACACTGCTGAGAATTGCATCTTCAGGGTAGCAGGTGTCATCCAAACACAACCACTTTATGTGTCGAGATCTCATCTGTGGTTCTAAAACTTAGCAGGTGTTTGTCAAATGGTTCTTGAATTGTTAGATGAACAATAAATATATATGCAGTTCTTTAAAATTCTAGCTAAGACTAAAAGGAGAACATTTCATTTGAAATGCAAAGTATTTTGGCATGCAGCAAATTGGGCACTGAATTTCTAAGAGATCAATCTTTAGTCACGTTGAAAGGGCAGTCCTTCATGCACTTGGCCTACCAACTTCCAGGACCCCTGGGCAGGGCTGAGGAATGCAAAGACCTGTGGAGAGGCTGCGACTGCTGGCAGGGGTCCTGGGGTGAGAGGACCATCTACTGATGCTGGGCCGGGGGCAGATCCCAGAGGTGTTCTGATGCCTGAACCTTCCTGGAATTCTTTCAAAACACTTGGATAAAAGAGGAGGAATGGAGGCAGGAGCACATGGAGGAAGTGGGATAATGATGCTCCTGAGGAGATGACACGCTATGTGTATGAATGGCTGACTGGAAACCGATCTGCTCTGAAACCTTCAACCAATTCACACTCACACACAAACATGTGGGTTGGTGTGGGCATGCCCTACAGGGGTTCTGAGAACCCAGGAAGGAAAGACAAGACTGCCCCCACAAGGCTGGCTGAAGGGGTGATGTTTACATCGGAGGCCTTGCTCTTTCTCCCCTAAAGGCAAGGCTCTGGCACCCCAAACCCTTGAACTGGAGGGTGGAGCAGCGGGGCTAAAGAACTGACTCCGACTCTAGACAGAAAAGGCAGGCGCCCGTGAACAGCAAGGATCACCGACCACCTCCAACTTCCACAAGCTGCACCCCAGGGGCGATTCTCCCCACAGAGCAGTGCCCCCACAAAATCGAGGTCACCCGGATGCTGTGTGTCAGGACCAGATGGGCAAGGATCACCTGTGTGTGTGAAATATCTGGGTTTATTCATAAGTGATTCAGGGCGAGGGCTGCCTTTCAAAGGGGTTAACCTAAGGTTTCTATAAATAACCAGCTCTCTTAAAGCAGTTCAGTAAAAACAACTCTTCACAGCAAAGGGGCCTCGCAGTGCCTGCCGGATACCACCCCATCCTGACAGAACCCTCTCCGTTCCTGCCAGACTGCCTCCCAGGATGCTCCCCTGTGGCTTCCCGCTCCTGCCGGGCAGAGTCTCCATGCCTCTCTCTTTCCCCTTCTCCTCCAATCTGTGCCTTCGAGATGTATACAGGACCACACCATGGGAGGTTCGTTCCTGGGATGTTTGATATCAGGACTCATCTGTCCCTCCCAGGTGTGAGTCTCACCTCCTCCTCCCCTGCTGCGGGCGGGATGGCGGGGCCATGGTGTCAGAATATATCTGGACCAACAGGTGGGATGTCTAGGCTTGATCTTCTCAAACTCCCAAGACGGTCTCCACAGGGTAACTCCTCCCCAGTGGGGATGCTAGAGCTTTATAATCTGCCAAGTCTATGAGCTGCTCGGTGAAGCACGATGGGGGCACCTCAGTACAGAGGGAGGACGGGGCTCAGCAGGCACCAAGCACTCACTGCTGGGCAGGGGAGCTGACCTCACCAAGGAGGGCACAGTCTAAAGGCATGAAGGACTCTGGAAACCTGGCCATCAGCCTTTTGTCATGTTCCAGCACCCTGAGGGGTTCAGCAGGCCCCCACAATGGTATGTGCCCACCTGCAGAATTTATAAGGGGGCACAGAGGGTTGGGGGAGCAGTTTGGGAAAAGTCTCCCAGGTGATTCCCACCTACCAATGGGAAATACTGT